ATTGGGTGGTTGCTGTCCGCTCTTCTGGCTCCGAAAACCGTCTTGTACCCAATCCGTGAAGGCAGAACCCGAAAACCTTGTGCTCCAAATCCTTGACACCTAAACCATAAGCCCACAACCCTACAGCCCCAAAGCTCTGAAGCCCTGCATACTTAAACCGCGAAAACACCGGAACGACTTAAATCCTAAACGAAATCCCGTGAACCTCTTAACACCCAAGACCCACAATTCCTGAGAGACCCTAAACCCAAAACCTCAAGCTAACTTGAAACCCCGGAAAAAACTAGACCCTATACTTGGAGGGTCGGGAGACTTTGAAGTGGGTTAGACGGTTAGAAAGTCGGCGACAAGTAGAGGTATGAATACCTTTAAAGGGATCGCAATTGGGGATAGGATTCTTATAACTCTGTAATGTAACTACTTGGTAAGTCCTCCGACCCTGAACCATAAACCCAAACCCCTGAACCCTTAACCACTAAACCCGGAACCCCTAAACCCTAAACTGGCTCTAAACCCTAACCCCTAAACCCTAAATCCAAAAAGCCTAAACCGTCCAAGTAAGGACCCCCAATGATGGGAGGCCTAAAGGGTGGTTTAAGATTCTTGGGATAGGGAGTCCTTAACAGGAACCCTATTATGGGAACCCCAATCCCCACTAAACGCCCATAGGCTAAGACGCCTTTTGGCCTCCTATGACCCAAAGCCCAAACTGGCCCTAAACCCTAAACCCCTAACCCCTAAACCCTAACCCCTAAACCCTAAAACCCCCTAAACCCTAACGCCTAAACCCGGAACCCCTAAACCCTAAATCCTAAACCCCTAAACCCTAAATCCTAAAGCCCAAACCCCCTGCAAGTAAGGACCCCCCCCAAAAGAGCCCAAGAGGACCTGGGCCAAGGTCGGCGAGAGATCAGCAGACTGAGATCGCTGCCTCCCAGAGAAAGCCTCCTCTCCAAAAGATGCGGTTTTTTTAACATAGATTTAAAAAAAAATTATGCACTACGTTTTTTGTTTTAACCTATGCGATGCGGAAGATTTGGGACTTACCGTAAAGGAACCCTTCTAGTACATATAGAAGAAGGTTCCTCAGCGGGATTTAGGGTTTAGGGTTGAGGCTTTATTGGGTTTATAAGGGACCCTTGGTGCGGAATGGTTGGTCTTCAGGTTCGGGGAATGTGAAATATGGGAGTTGCCGAACATTAGGGGGTACGGGGATCCATGAGGATTCCTTCAAGGGATCTGTAAGGGTTCTATGAAGGGTTTAGGGTTTAGAGCTTCCGATAATTAGGGGTACATTATTTGGGGGTCCTCATAATAATGATCCCACTATGTAGGGCACTACATTATTTGGGGGTCCTCATAATAAGGATCCCACTATGTAGGGCACTACATTAGGGGCCCCTATTTTCGGAAACTCCCATTTCTTACCATTTACAAAAACCCTAAACCCTAAACCCTAAGCCTTGAACCTTTAGCTCAGGGTTTCGGGTTTAGGGCCGAAGACTTGGGGTTAGGGTTTAGGGTTTAGGGTTTAGGGTTTAGGGTTTAGGGTTTAGGGTTTAGGGTTTGGGGTTTAGGGTTTAGGGTTTAGGGTTTGGGGTTTAGGGTTTAGGGTTTAGGGTTTAGGGTTTGGGGTTTAGGGTTCTTTACTTTCACTATACTCTAACATACTGTGTACCAAAGCCCCATCCTGATGAAGGCCGGGGGTTTCGGATGGAGGGCTTGCGGAGAAGATCGGGGATTGGGACTCGGCTTTAGGGAAAGACGGGTTTGAGGTTGAGAGCTTAGGGTCTGGCTTCTTAGGTTTATGGCTTAGGGTTTATATAAGGTTCAGGGCTTGGGGACTAAAGCAGTCGACTAGGGTTTGGGGTTTATGGTCAGGGAGATTGAAACTTGGGACTACAATGCGAACAAAAAGGTGCGGGCTCTAGAAGGGGATTACGGGTCACCTGCAGCCCAAAGCACCTACCTTTTTAAGGGCTGTTAATATAGGGGCCTTAATAGTTGGGAGGGGGCTTTGATACCCCCCAAAGGAACCCTTAAAGAAACCGTAAGCGCGGGTTCCGCTTCGCAGGGCGTCAAACCCTCGTCCATCGCAGAAAGCGCAAGTTCTGCTTTCCGGGCAGGAAGACCGCACAATACCCTGAAACGCTGCATCTAGGTGCTTTGATAATTGAAATTGGGTGTTTTGTGGTACAGTTGTAGAATAGCTACTCAGGCTCCTACATATTCTGAGGTCTGATTCGGAGCCACTCGGGTTTCACAGGGGACCTACCTGATACAGAAAGTGCCTTCGGCCTATCGAACTCCTCGGGCTGCGTGACTCTGAACCGCGCAGAGTCCAGGCATCCATACAGTTAGTGTAATAGTTTAGGGGTTTAGGGTTTAGGGGTTAGGAAGTTTGATAGAGTGCTATATGAAATGGTATAATACAATGCAGTATAATAAAATACAATATGATATATCGACACGAAAAAGAAACCCCAAATCCACAGGCCGTAACCCTGCATCAGGATAGTGAAACGTGGAAGTATCCAGATAAAAATAGGATCCCCAAGATTCCAGAATAGTAGGATTGTTTCTCTAAAGACACCAAAGAGCCAAGAGGGGATTCCTCCGTAAACCACCATCCATGAACCAAGAAGAATGTGCGAACGAAAACTGCCCAAATCTCGAGGAGCTGAGCTCTTCGGCCTTTTCTTAAGCTGATTTAGGGTTTAGGGTAACCCTAAACCCTAAACCCAAAGCAGGGTTCGGAACAACAGAGCTCCTTCTCCATCTCCTCGTGCACGTTCAGGAATGTGTTCCGATACCTCGGGACGCTCACCCCAAAAAATCCTCAACACTGGAACCTGCATAAAGGCTAGGACTTCTCGGAACTTGCGGACGTCAGGCTTCGGCGCACTCCGTCTGTGGGCTCGGTGAGCATGGTCGCCGTCAAAACTTTCATGGTTGTAGATTAGAAAGCAGCCGTTGCAGTGAAAATGATAGTAGAAGTAGCCCGTGTAGTCGCTGTACGTAGTTCGTGGCAGGAGTAGTAGTAGTAGTAGTAGTAGTAGTAGTAGTAGTAGTAGTAGTAGTAGTAGCAGCAGCAGCAGTCGTAGTAGTAGCAGAAGCAGTAGTAGTAGTCGTCGTCGTAGTAGTAGTAGTAGCGATAGGAGCAGTGATAGTATTGGCAGCAGCAGTAGAAGTTGTAGTAGTAGTAGTAGTAGTACTAGTAGTAGTAGTAGTAGTAGTAGTAGTAGTAGTAGCAACACCACCACCAGTTGGAAGGGTGTGTTCAGGGCCATTTCGATTGCAAACATGTGCCGCGAGAAAAGCACGTCAGCCTTTAGGGTTCATGGTTTAAGGCTCAGCTACCCTTACCAAAAGGTGAATAATCACTAGGAGATCCCACGCCCACTGCCACTGCTACTGCCACCGCTACTGCCACGACGATGAAAGCCACAAATACCATGACCATGACTACCAAGCCTGCTGTTGCTAGTACTAGTAGCAGCAGTTGTCACAGCCAGCTTGAATTCAAGCAGAGCAGCATGCATACCTGTCGCATGGCTCTGGCAGGGAGACTACTTTTCACTATTTCCTCCCCTGGTACACCAAAACGGCGACTGCAGAAGGAGGTTCAGGGCGTTGGAACCTGGTGTCAAGTTACGACTGGAACGACAGCCCAGCGTCTACGGTGTTCATGTTTGGCACCGTAGTTCTCTACATTAGTGTCCCTGTTAGGGATTCTGGGGGTCCATATGGTCCATTTCATCAGGGTGCCGTACTATCCTTAAGACTAAGCAGGGGCCCTATTTTTTCAGAGCTACCCACGGAACAGCTGGGCTTTCCCCCTTCCAACCCGTGAGCACCGACTGCTCATGTTCTGCAACTCGACGCGACCGAAGCACAGGCTCCCAATCCGGATTCCTGGATCCCAGGGTGTGCCCGAATTCCGGGGCAACAATAGCAAGAATATCCCTGAGAATATGAATGATACCGATGATAATGATACTGATAGTGATAGTGCAGCTAGACCGACGATGGCAATGGTAACTGTGATGGCACTGGCAATGGCAATAGTCATGGTCACTCCACCGTCATGGCCATGCTAATGCTAGAGCTAATGACTGTTAATGCTAGTCCGAGTGCTGATGCTGATGATGCTGACTGTAAGGATGCTGACAATTCGCGATAGTCACAGCGGTAGTGCTGTCGGCAACGATGATGACGATAACCATAACGACATAACGACGAAGATTCTGAACATTGCCAGGCTTAACAAGGAACAATACTTGTAGTAATACGAATAACGGTAGCCGTAGCACCAGTATAGTAGCAGCAATAGTAATAGCACTTGAAGTCGTACTGCGACTGGAAATAGCAATCGTCATCGTAACAGTAACGGCAATGGTACTAGTGCTAGCAATGAGCATGATATCAGCCAGTGTAATACGACTGGTAACAGTAATGGCACTAGCTACGGACATGCTATTGGTGTTAGAAAGTGTGCTGGTATGGTAATGGTCACAGCCAGAGTAGTAGCAGTCATAGAAATAGACCAGTCAATAGCGTCAATAGAGCTTTTACACAAGAGTCACGGTCGTAACACCAACAACGCCGGTCGCAAGACTCGCAACGATCAATCAAGTAAACACACGGACACACAGGAACTTCAACCCTAAACCTTGAACCCTAAACTGAAACCATGAGCGCCCGACTCGTTCTTTTGCTCGCTGGATCGCTATGCGAGTGCAAGCTCGTCTCTAAGCGATGTTGTGTTCAGCCAATGCTGGGTTCAGATGGTAGGTTGGAGCGCTTGAAGTTACCGCTTAGAGTGTTGGAAAGCTTTGGCCATCAACGGGGTTTAGACTCAAGGTTAGTAGACCTGCTAATCCCAACAACCTCGAGGAACGACTGCTCTGAAGTAGTCGGTAAAGTATCGTGCGGCTTTGGGTTTAGGGTTTAGGGTTTAGGGTTAGGCTCAGAATTTCACAGTTTGGCGGCAAAGTCTTCTACACCACAAACTCGACTTGCTCCTGGGCTGGGAAAAGAAGTGATTGGGATCTAACGCAGGGGCCTTAGTCGCCAGAGTAGTATATGGTACGGTTGATGGACAAAATCCTGCATGACCCTAAGGACTCTAAACTATGGGAATTATGGTATCTTCCTTATAGTGGGTAATGCAGGATTTTGTCCATCAACCGTAGTATATCTATAATCTGGAACCAGGGATATTCAGCTTTCATGAAATGCAGGGAATCGTCCAGCCCCCAAACCCTAGACCCCAAGCCCTTAACCCCTAACCCCTAAACCCTAAACCCTAAATCTCTGCACCCTAAACCCTAAACCCCTAAACCCTAAACCCTAAACCCTAAACCTCAAACCCCTGAACCCTAAACCCTAAACCCCTGAACCCTAAACCCCTAAACCCCTAAATGCCAGAGCCTTCTTTAGTAGGGCTTGAGGGCTGATAGTCGATGCACCAAGGCTTGGGGATTGAGGCTTTAGGGTTTAGAGTTGAGGGTGTTGGGTTTTGGGCTGTGTGAATTACTAGGATACCCAGGGATCTATAGGGCTCCTTAAAAGGGGTCTATAAGGGATCTATAGTAGGGTTCTATAATATAGGGGGTTAATATACTAGGATACCCAGTAACCTAAGAATAATAAGGCCTCTCTTTTTGGTATTGGGTAACTTTATAAGGAACCTAGGACTACAAAAAGGGAATAAGGGTACTACTGGGCATCCTAGATTAGGGTTTGGGGTTTAGAGTCTACCAATCAAGGAGACTTGTTTAGTTCCCAGGCAATTAACATGGCAAGGGGTGCAGGGCTGCAAGGCGAAGAAAGAGGCCTTACCAATTGGAATAGGGTTTTTGCGGCCCAGTAAACTAGACATGTAATGAGGAACCCCAAAGTAGTATTCGTAATTAGTTAGGCCCCTATAGTACTAAAGCCCCAAACCCTTACAGCCGGCCTGCAAGGCAGCCGAAGACCCGGAAAAGGCACCAAAGGCCTTGAACTCGTCGCCGTAAGCCCTTCACCCTGAAAGCTTTCAAATCCCGGCAGACCCTCTGAAACCTGCCCTGAATGTCCTCTCCAAGCCCCTCGAACCTTCCCGAAGTCCTTTCAATCCCTACTCATCCCTACACTTGCTCTGAAACCCTACACCCCAAACATACCTAACCCCTAAACCCTACCCCCCAAGCATCCCTAAACCCTAAACTTTAAGGTTTACCGCCCCCAAACATCCCTTAAACCCTCCCCAGAGACTCCAATAACCCTTAATTAAGGAATATACCTTAAATCATATTAGGGATCCTACCATAATTTAAGGTATATTCCTTAATTAAGGGATATTGGAGTCCCTGGGTCCCCACCCGGCCCTCCTTCTTGGGCCCTGCAGGGATGGCCGCGAGGCATCGGATCTCCACAGAGGCGTCTCGGGCCTGGGGGAAATCCAAAGCCGAAACCTTTGGGAAGTTTAGGGTTTAGGGTTTAGGGCTTGTGGTTTAGGGTTTAGGGTTTGTGGTTTAGGGTTTAGGGTTTGTGGTTTAGGGCTTAGGGTTTGTGGTCTAGGGTTTAGGGTTTGTGGTTTAGGGTTTAGGGTTTGTGGTTTAGGGTTTAGGGCTTGTGGTTTAGGGTTTAGGGCTTGTGGTTTAGGGCTTAGGGTTTGTGGTCTAGGGTTTAGGGTTTGTGGTCTAGGGTTTAGGGTTTAGGTGTTAAGTTTCTCTAAATTCGGGTCCCTTTTAGGGTCCTTTTTCCAAGGGTGCCGTACTAGTTTGAGGACCTAAACAAGGACCCTGATTTTAGAGAACTACCCATAGAGGGTCTTCATATAATCAGCTTGAAAGGGGTTACACTACAATAGAATCACTAATAAGGGAGCCCCAAACTTGGAGGATCAAGGGACTTAGTAAGTAAGGTTTAGGGTCCCTTTTAATAAGGATACTATAGGGTTCTAGAAAAGGGTTCCTTAAAGGGATCAAAAGGGTTCAATAATGGGGATCATGGGACTCAGTAAGGAAGGTTACAAGTACCTTCATTGGGGCTATAAGTAGTTGGAAGTAGAGTTACCCGAATAAAGACCCTAGGTAATTAAATCCCAGGATCCTTTAAGAACCCTCAACCACAAGTCCTCAGGCCCGAACCCGAAATGCTAAAGCCTCCTTGCGCGGCGTCCGAAAGCGCTTTTTCAGAGGTTGCGGGGGCTTGAAATGCTCGGGGCGTTCCTGTTTCGGGGGTCTCGGGATTGAGATCTGATCTTGAGATGGATCCCTCTCCCTAGCTCGAGACCTCCGACCTCAAAGCACGGAAAGCCCCAAAGCAAGACGGTGCTGGACGAGTCGTTCTCAGACTCGACAAAGATTCGAAGACGCATCTGGTCGCCCCGAAACACGAAACCCCAAAACTCAACTCGTCAATGCACACAAAAAAGCCCCAAAGCCCAACCCTGAAGCCTAAACCCCACAAAGACCTCAACCGAAACCCCACAAAACCGGTTTAGGGTTTAGGGCCCTGCACTTGAAGGTTAATCCTGAGCCCTCCGGGCTGCCGTCGAGCGGCCAGCTTGCCAACCTGCACTGCCACGCGGCTGGGCGGCAAGGAAGGCCAGAACTCTGCGTAGGCCTGACATGCTTTCTTACCGGGATCTATGGGAGTTTCCGATTTTGGGGACTTGAATAAAGTACCCTAAATTGTAGGATCCTTACCATAAGGACCCAAAAGTAAGGCACCGGTAATTTTCGAAAACTCCCATCTGAGAATCCTTTTTGAGACGTTTGCTGTGTGTCATGAGCTTGTGTATGGCTCTTTTGGGCTTAATCGGGCCTTGGAAGACTTGAAAAGCGTTTTGTGTGGCGTGCAATGTGCAAGGCCTCGGGTGCTAGGAATTTTGGATCCAAAGGCTTCAATTTTTGAGGTGTTTGCAAGTTAGGTTTCAGGCCATAACCCAAGCCGAAAAGAATTGAAGTGTAAAGCCTGGGTCAGAAAGCCTGCATGTCAGAAATCCGAGACTCTTCAACCCTGAAACCCCAAAAACCCCACAATACTACAGGACCTTACCAATTCGAATAGGGTTTTGAGGCACGTTCATAAGGAACCCCCCAAAATAGTGTTGGTTTCTATTTAGGCCCCTACATTACATCAGGTTTAGGGCTTCGCGTGGAAGCCCGAGGCCCCAACACTTCTTTCGTCGCTTGTTCCTTTTTGTGGCTCATATTTAGGATCCTATAAGGTAGTCTCAATAAAGGAATTACGATCCCACCTTGTTCCCTAAACCCTAAACCCCTTAACCCTCAACCCTAAACCCCTAAACCCCTAAAACCTAAACCCCTAAACCCTAAACCGTAAACCCACCTTGTTCACGTCGGCAAAGTTCTTCATGTCTGTAAGGGACACTTCGCAGGCGACGACTTCCGAGAGACCTGCTCGCTCTCGAAGCTTCTTTGGGCTTCGGCTTGTGGATTCCTTAAAAGGGCTCCTTATAAAGGGATCTATAGGGGTTCCTTTAAGGGATCTATAGGGTTTAGGCTTTAGGATCTACCTAAAGGATCATGGACTTAGTAACTAAAAGGGATCTAGAAGGGTTCCTATCATGGGATCTATAAGGGTTTAGGGTCTACTTGGAGGATCATGGGACTTAGTAAGGTTATAAGTACGTTAATTGGGGTCATAAGTAGTTATAAGTATAGTTACCCTAATTAGAACCCTCGTCGCTAAGCCCCTTGATCCTTTAAGTAAGGCTTTAGGATCTAAGGGATGTGGGGTTTAGGTGGGGCGTCGGTTGTTCAGGGGTTTACTCTGAGTTAGCATACTAGGCTGGGGTGTCCTCATGATGGTACCTATTTACTTTAATGCGGGAGTGAGGCTTTAGGATTTCAGACCTGGGGTTTGGGGCTTGCTGTTTACTATACTGAACTTAGAACCCTAGCAAAAATTAAAATTTTAGCTGTTTCTTAGGTATTATAATAACCAAAAATTAAAAAAAAATCTAAGTACCCCTAAGTTTATAGGGATTGCAAGTTTCGGGTTCAAAGCACTCGACCCCAAAGGCTTTTGACACCGAAGCCATCGACTCCTGAAACCTTGCAGTCCTTAAAGCCACAACTGGCTGACCCCTAGCCGATACGGGAGTTTCCGAAAATTAGGGGTACTTCATTTAGGGGTCATTATAATAAGGATCCTACTATTTAGGGTACTATGTTAGGGTCCCGCCCTATCTTCGGAAACTCCCATACCCCTCTCTACACCCTCCAACCTCTACTTTCGAACCCCATCAACGCTAAGCACCGAGTCCCAACTCCCGAGCCCTAAACCCCCTCTCGCAGCCCTAGAAGGAAACGCTGCAATTAGATCCGGCTCGACAAAGAAACACATACTAAAAAGTCACAACCCTAAACCCAGGCTAGAAGGCCTTATTCACCCCACTCCTCCAACTATCACCCCTTACACCAAACACAAAATCGGCCTGTCCCTGCCGCTTCGGCGGACGCCTGGATGTCCTTCGGAGGCTTTCGGATGGGGCTTTCAAGGTTTAAGCGTTTTAGACTAAGGGTTTTGGGCTTTGGGTCCTGGGCCATCTGAGTTTAGGGTTTTAGGTTTTGGGCTTTGGGTTCCAGGCTATTTGGGGTTTCTTCCCCGGTTCTGGCAGAAACATGGCGGTTCAGGGTGTGGGACTGAGAGCTAAAGGTCGAAAAACTGGGTTCTTGTTAAGGAACTTAATTTAAGTTACCATAATAAGGAAACCCTATTATTTACGATAGATTCCTATTATGGTAACTTAAATTAAGTTCCTTAACAAGAACCCAGAAAACAGTTGGGGGGCTCAGGGCCCGGGCTGGAGGCTTAACACAAAGCCAAAACAACCATGCAAGAGCTCTGGTTTAGGGTTTAGGGTTTAGGGTCTTAGGGTTTTAGGGTTTAGGGTTTAGGGTTTAGGGTTTGGGGTCTTAGGGTTTTAGGGTTTAGGGTTTAGGGTTTGGGGTCTTAGGGTTTTAAGGTTTAGGGTTTAGGGTTTAGGGTTTGGGGTCTTAGGGTTTTAGGGTTTAGGGTTTAGGGTTTGGGGTTCAGGGTCTGGGGCTGTCCTGAAACTCCTCGTGACCCGGGTTGAGATATTGCTTAAGGCTTGACACCTGTTTTATGCACAAAACTGCTACACGCCCATACCCTCCGGTACGAACCCCGCCGAATCCCCAAAAGCAGAAACAATAGACACAACACCACTAAACCAATCCCGGAACCCCAAGAACCCTCAGCCCTAAAGCCTAAACCCTAAAACCCTAAACCCTAAAACCCTAAGACCCCAAAACCTTAAACCGAATACTCAAAACCTTAAACCCTAAACCTCAAATGGCTCCTTCAGTGTCTGCGTGGTCTCCGGCCCCGCGCCGCCCTCGACGAGCTTCGAGGTCGACATGTCCACGCCTTCTGAGGGTTTCAGGCGCGGGATATTCAAAAGGGTTTAGGATCTAAGGTTTAGGGTTTAGGGTTTAGGATCTGGCGCTTAGGCTTAAGACAGTCTGCCGTCAAAAAGCAAAAAAAAAGTGCTTTAGGCCCTAATTAAGCTATTGAACATAAAACCCTGCATAAGCCTTTGCGAGGGCTTGCTTCAGGAGTCTGGGCCTAAAACCACTGAACCCTTAACCCCCTCCACCAAAAACAGCCGACGACCGACGCCGAGGACCGAGTTCAAGGTCCTGAGGTTACTGTAGGGACCTTAACAATAAAAAGCAGCAGCTCTATGCAGGCTTGGTTGAGGCTTTAGGGCTTCGTGTAAGGGCTCCTTTAGCGGGTCCATAGCGGAATTGTTTTCAGGTTTTTAAGGCGACTTCTGGAAAGCCTATGACGCACTGTAGAAAAGTCAGGTGACCCTCCCTTCAAAGGGTTTCCGTAAGGGATCCTAAACCTCCAACCCTAAACATAAATCCCAAGTAGGGTTCGGACCTTGGTTCCCGCTGATGAAGGCCAAGTTGTCGATGGTCGCTGCGGCAGAGAAGGGAAAGCCCGTCATCTGGGGCCAGCCCGGGACCTGTCTTAAGACGCTTATGAGAACCTCGGGTTGAGGGTTCGGGGTTGGGAATTTTGGGTTTCAGGCTTCGGGCTTTGGGGCTCAGAGCTTTAATGGGATTAGAGTTGAGGCGTAGGGCTCGGAGGCTTAAGACAGTTTTTGCGCTAACGAGTCTGAAAAGTCTTTCGGCTCAGGCACCGTAAGGTTTTCGTTCGGCTAAAGGCCTTCTGTGGGCTACGCGGTTTACTTGGAGGATCATGGGACTTAGTAAGCAAGGTTATAAGTACCTTAATTGCGGTTATAAGTAGTTATAAGTATAGTTACCCGAATTATAACCCTAGTTACTAAACCCCATGATGCTTCAAGTAGGATGCTGGCTCAAGACGGCGCTGTAGTACTTGCCAAGGACTTTGTGACTTTCATGGGTCTGTAGTTTAGGGATTTATTGGAATCGATAAGACGCCTTATGGCTTTACAGGATTGTATGAAGGATTTTGCATGGGTGACTACAGGATACGCCTGAAGGATTCAGCAGCTTCAGGCTAAAACCCTAAACCCTAAGAGTTTTAAGCTTTTCTGAGTCGTTGATTTCGATATTTCACGCTTGGCGAGAGTTTCAGCCAATAACAATGTTCCTGAATTTTCCGTGTTGTAACTGTACTACGACATACTCCCAAGCCCTATTCTAGTTATCGCTGACACCCCTAAATGTGTCTTATTTTGAAGACGTGGGCGGAGCTCATTGTCACATGGTGCTGTCATTTCATACTACCTCGACCTTAAACTTTAGCCCCAAACCCTCAACCCTCAACCGAAAAGCCTGAGCTCTACACCCTAAAACCCTGAACCCCAGATTAGGTCGGATCTTGATTTCGGGGACTCCGTATTGAAAGTCCACAGATCCGGTCCATACATCCGAAACAAGAGTTTCAGAAATCTGAGCCTGTTTTGGAAACCCCCCCTACATCCCAAAACCCCCATCCCTGGGCCGCTTGAACCCCAAAGGCACCCCCCACACCTTCTCTACCAAAAGTCCGACAGTCCCCGAATCCTAAACTGCTCATGCACCCGCCCGGACCTTAATGGCTTTCGGGGGCCCGGTGTGATGAGGATCTCCCCCTCAGCGCTGGAAGCTCTGACCGAGCGGGGCAGTGTAAGGCTCCGCAAACAAATTAGTATTGACCATAGGGCAGTGCCAAGGATACTCTGGACCCCTGATCAACAAACCCCCTGTCTCTAAGGACCTGAACATTTGGAGCCTTACCATGCGATTTATTGATCATCAAAGGTTACCAAGCCTCTGCATAAACCAAGAACGAATTCGGTCAGTACTGGTCCGTATGACTCGGACGGGATTTCTTGTGACTGCTGCCACTCTGAGGAGCAATTTAAACCAAACGGGAACAGTCGGTGAATGAGGCATGCACCGCCCAACTTCGCAGACAAAAACCCTTTCCCGCAAGATCTTCCCAGCTTTCCCATCGCAAAACGCTGCGGTTTACGAGAGACGCCCCGCTTTTGAGGGCCAGGCTCGCGACAGCATTGCACTGAATCTCAACCTGTTGCCGGGGTGTTTAGGGCTTAGGGAGTTTAGGGTTTTGGGGCCTAGGGGGTTTAGGGCTTTAGGGGCTTTAAGGGCTTTAGACTTTAGGGCTTAGAGTCTTAGAGTGCTCCTTCCCATCTGCTCACAGCCTTCTCCTCCTTCCTTCACTAGTAACGAAGGGCTCCTGGCCTTTACAAGGGGAACCCCAAAAGACAGGAGAAAATCGGTGCACTACGTGGAAACCTATCTCTTTCAATCATCCCAACATCGCTGGGCTTTAAAGTCTTCCTGCTTCTCCGCGCCAGTTCTCCATGCGCTGTTGCCTTATGACGAACATGTTCGACTTGCATCACCCTGAAACGATGCAATCTTGCAAAACAGGAGGGTATGAATTTATGACCCCATAACTGTTCGGCATAGCCCTCAAACCAGCAGCTTAGAAGATCCACAGGTAAACCTTGAACCCCGAGACCCCTAACCTTAACCTCAAAGACTGAAGCCTTTCAGCCTCGCTTGTCGGTCCAAGGGGCACGGGCCTTGCCTGCTAAGGCAGCTGCCTCGACACAGACCTCGGGATGTACATGTGGCCTACTTGGAGGGTCATGGGACTTAGCATTTAAGGCTATAAGTACCTTAATTGGGGTTATAGGTAGTTATAAGTATAGTTACCCAAAATCGAACCCTAGTGACTAAGTCCCATGATCCTCCAAGTAGGGCGGGTTCAGGGTTGAGATTTTCGGGTATAGAGGAGAGGGCTCAACCCTAAAACCCGGAACCCTAAACCCCTACTGAGCCCTACTGTAAACACTAACCCCTAAATGCGAAACGGGCGGAGTGCTATCTTTTCCTGCTTTCGCTTGTACCAACAGGGCTTCAGTAGTGCACTTAACTATACAGCTGTACAAGTACACACTACACACGAGAACTACAGGTAAGGCTCGAGAATTTCTCGCACCCTCCTTGTAGTGGGTATCTTGTAGTACCCGGTCGCGCATTGGGCTCAAAATGCGTTACTTGGTCTTGCTTTTAAAGCAATACTTGCAAAAGTCAAATCCCTTGATGACGTCCGCTCTGTACAAACCTTGACATCCAGGGTCTGAGTGGACTTTGCGTCCCTTTCGGCTCATAAAGAGCTTTCCATGTGGGCACGTTGTACCCATGTACACAATCACCTCTCGGTTTCCAAAATGGATACACTTACAGAGGCAAAAGATCACTGCCAACGCCATTGTGATGGCATTCAACGTGAAACTGATCATGATGAGATAGGGCATCCACGAAGCAACGGTATCACCCGCTCCATAAGGGATAAGATCCATGAGGTGTCTCCCTTAGAGGCCGATGTCTACCAACAGCACTAACGAACTGCTTTGTGCTGAGCCTTGTGCACTGCTGCGGCTGCCACTTCTTCCAGCTTGTCAGTGCTCCAACCGATTGCATCGTGTTCTTTGAAACGTGCTTGTCCAGCCCTTGCTTGTCCAAGGTTACTAGACCCAACATGCCCCTTCCTTCCTCAGTTTCGGCTCCCGTGGCCAAATGCTTTGTTAAGGCGTTTGAAGGATTCTCTGTCCCTTTGATCTTCTGGACAATCACTCTCTTCTCTTTCACAAGTTCTTGAATGTACAAGTGTCCTAGATCGACATGTCTCATCTTCCCAACACCAAGTCGCCTAGCAACCTGGATTGCTGCACTGCTATCGCAGAACAGCCTCGGAACATCGATTGACATCCCGAAGTCCTCAACTCCTAAGTTCCTCACGAACACCAGGTCCTGAGCGCACTGAGTTAAGGCTCTGACCTCTGCTTCCCCTGAGCTTGTAGCTGGGGTGCCTTGCTGAGTCCTCGCTGAGGTCTCCACGACAGTCCCTCCTAGGACTATCACCTGTCCACTGGTGCTTTTCCTATCCTCTTTATCTCCAGCCCAGTCGCTGTCACAGAATCCCTGAAGAGGAATCCCTGCCGCTGGGTCCACATGTTCATCCAACTTGGTCACGTGTCCTACGTGCATTGTCCCACGCAGATACCTTCCTAGCACCTTGAGGTTTTGCATGTCGCACTCACGCGGTTCCCTGATCCGCTTTGCCAGCTCCTTGCAGGCAAACTTTATATCCGGTCTGTCTTGTGACAGATAAGTTGCGCTACCTACACAGCTTGCGTAGGTTTCCTTCGCCTTGCCTTCAAGCGGCTTGTTGTCCTGCAGGTTAAGCTTCTTCCCTAGCACTGGGCTTGGCTTTGCTTCTTCGAGTCCTAGCATCCTAAGAATGTCGTTGATGTGCTTCTCATTCGGAAGCGTCACCACAGCACCTTCAACTAGAATCTTCTTCCTACCAAGAAACTCACTTGTGCTACTGCTTGCTTCCCCAGGCCACTCAAGCTCACCCACTTTCAGCTTGCACCCGCACTTTGGCAACTGCACCTTGAGTAAGTCGTTCAACAACGCAGCCGGTCCGCACACATCGAAATCATCTATATGATGAATCAGAACTATACCTGTGCGCCTGCATCGAAACACACATGCATCAAGCTTTCCGCGGTGAAAATCATAGACTCCCTTTGGGAGTTCCTTGGTCAAAATGACCTCCAAACGATCTCTGTACTGTGCTGCCGCCGACTGTCTGCCGTACAGGTTTCCGTCTACCTGCCACAACACATTCTCCTTGGGCGTGTCCTTCAGCTGTCGCTGTACTTCTGGATCTGCTTTGGCATACCACTCATCGTAATCCTCCAGCCATTCCTTTGGTGGCCTCATCATCACCGGTTGCCCCTTCGCGTCTCCTCCATCTTTAGCGATCAGAAAAGCTGAGCTCAAATCAGCTTTCACTCTCGGCATCTTCGTAGCCAAAGAGTAAACTTCCAAAAGCTTTCTGGAGGTCGCGTGCGGTGTAGGGCAAAAGTTTGAGGGAAACTCTGAGCTGTGCCTCTCGTTGGCATCTTGCTTCTTCTTGAAATCCTGGCATGTAAGCCTGGACTTCGCTATCCCCTCTGTCACCTTGTCGACCCACTTGTGGCCAAACACCGTTAGGTCTCTCGGAAGCTGACGCCCATCTCTAGGCGTGAAGGCCCCATAGACCTCGTTGAGCTTTCTCAGCTCTTCCTTCCGCGCTCTCTTGAGCTCTCTTTCATCCATTTGCATCGTGTCCAGATAGTCCATGATATTGCTGACCATGCTTGAGTTGAAGCATCCTTCATTCTGCTTCACCCACTTCTTGTAGTGCTCGTAGTCCTCCTTTCCAAGACACGTGCCTGCCTCACTCCACTCACCATGGTTGCTGATGCAGGATATCATATCCTGAGCCATGTCTCCCGGAAGGGATGGCGAGTAGAGACTAAGGTCATGACTGCCTGTCCCCATGCTAGCATCAGGCGTTGCGATGCTGAACCGCACCGGTCCACCTGAAGCTTGAGCGGTGTCACCCGAGGGCTGCTCGGCCTCACCAGGTTCCACCCTTGCTCTCTTGCTCTCTGGTTCTTCGCTCGCTTCCTTTTCGTGCTTCTCACCTTGCGGCGGTGCTGGCATTGGAACAACCAGCACTTCCTTTGGATCACCAGACCCAAAGTCGTAGGTCTCTGCAGCCTGGGACTGAGACTGCTTTCCGCTCGGACTTCTCTTGCGCAACTCTGGTGGTTGCTATCCCCAAGTACCGGTTCCACGGCACTCCTCTTGCCTTCTCTAGAACCTCCACACTGTACTGGGAACTCTCAGGCAACCTCCGCGCAGTCCTGCAGGTTTGCACGCCTGCTTCCGTGAGCAACAGGTGTTCATCACCAAGTGCGTTCTTCCCCACATACACTCCCCGAATCCATCTCGGGGCTGCCTTGTCCTTCTGCTTGGGGTACTTAGCCATGGCCACTTGACCAAAAGTCATCATCTCTCCGAGGGAATCATACCCATTCACAATCCTGAAGGCTGTTGTCTTAGAGTGGTTGATATGGAATCGGGCAAGAGTCCATGCGCTGTGTCTCACAATCCACGGAAACAACACACTGTCACAACCGATCTTCATCTTGTACTTCTCAGACACTTCTGCAAGCCATGTGCGCACCTTTCCCGCGATGAGACCATTGATCATCTCTCCATCCGCCAAGGACTGAGAGCTGTATCGCGGTGATCTCCGCAAGGTTATGGTGTCACCCATGCTTGCTTTCACCTTCTCGTAGATCTTGTTCAAAGCGCTTTCCTGGTCGAACTGAATGACCACCTTGTCCCACTTGAGGTCCTTGATCCAGCTCGTGAGCGCCTTGCTCGCGTAGTCCACGCTGGCTTTGGATGGCAACACCAATGCAAAAGGATACTGGCTGTCCTTGCAAATGGCTGTCAACACGGTCACCAACCCAGCCTTCTTCTTCTCGCTTTCTTCTTTGCTCACTTCTGTTCCCTCCTTGGAGAAGAACATGTAGTCTGAGTAGATGATGTGCTCTTTTGGATCTTCCTTGATTCTCCGATGCTGCTTGCTCTTTCCTTGCCCCATCACACAAACAGGGCACCAACTCTCAAAGTTGGCGTGGTGGAGATTGTGCTCCTCCACCTCTGCAGCTGTCGGTTCCTTCGGTGCCTTAATCGCCTTAGCTTTCTTGTCATCGTCTCCTTCGTCCACCACCAGGCGCCCATCAGCATCCTCGTCGTCCTCGACGATCTGCTCGTGGGCTTCCTCTCCTTCAAGAAGCACCTCTTCCTCGTAGGCCTCGTCGAGACCTCGCATTCACTCATCCTCGTGACTCAGCTGCTCTTCTTCAGCAGCTGGCTCATCAGACCTCTCAGGCTTTAGCCTGAACCAGGTCTCTCCAAGCCATGAGTGCTTCATCTCTCTCATAGCATACCGCTTGTCTTCCCACATGCTGCGGTCCTCTTTCTGCGAGCCGTCTTCCTCGAAGATCATCTTCGTGAGCCTTCCGCTCTCAATCCTCTCCAACGGCACTGGAAGGTCCTTGACCTTTGGAGCGAAAAGTCGCTTCCTCGGATTGTTGTGCTCTCTAATGAGGTACTCAACCCCATCTTTCACCTCTTTCTTCCACCTGTCGGGCTCCTTAGGCCCAAGGTCCACTTCATCGCCAATTGGGGCTATGCGCCCACGAACTGGTCCTGGACCTTCGGTCTTGTCCATCACCTTGAGATACCACCTCTTGCCATGAAGCTCAAGTGGTACGGTGTCACCCGTCTTCGTCTCTAGGTAACACCCTCCTGGACTGAAAACTACCTTGTGTCCCTTAGCTACCAAGCTGTGAACTGAAACGAGACTTTCAGCGGCATCTGTCACAGTCATCTCAACCGAACCACTGGTCCGACCAAACATGACCTGCGGATACTGCTTGCCATACACCTTCAAAGGAGTTCCCTGCACACTGAACAACGGCTTAGCTTTGGAGCTGTCGATGTCCGCATTGAAATCACCAAACTTGGCAACACTTTCACACGCTCCGGAGTCTACAAGAAGATGCCTGCACCCTAGCTGCTCCGGCCCAATCGCCGAAACTGTGCTATCACCGACAGTGAAAATCACATCTTCATCACTCCACTTAGCAATGCGTTGTGCACCCTCAAACACAGACCCCACTGCCGTGCTGCTGCCGTTCGCTCCGTCCTTGGCTCCACTCGAACCACCGGTTCCACCAGTGTCAGTAGCAGCCTCGGTGTCGACTGCTCCGACCTTCCACCAGCAATCAGCGGCAATGTGTCCGTGCCTGTGGCATATGTGGCACTGCTTGCCTGCATGCGGATTGTTGTTCTTTCCTTTTCCGTTGTTGGGTTTTCCTTTTCCTCCTTTGTTGTTTGCTCCTTTCCCTTTTCCGTCCTTTCCTTTCTTTCCTTCCTTTCCTTTGTCTCCTGACTTGTTGTCCCAGTTACCTTTTCCGTTCCACTTGTCTTTGTTGCTCCAGTTTTCTTTGCCTTTGTTGTTGTTGTTCCAGCTGTCCTTTCCTTTTCCTTCCTTCCTGTCACCTTTTCCTTTTCCGTCCTTTCCTTTCACACCTCCAATGTCCATTGGCCTCAAACCTCCATCATCAGGTTGATCTATGTTCTTGTTTGCTGCCTTGGTCAAACCAAACTGTGAACCTTGGGGCCTTTTCCAAAGGTTCCTGTTGATCAGATACTGCTCGATGTACTCACGAATCTTGCCATAACTGTCCAGCGCATCACTGTGCATGAAAATGCTTTGCTGCAGCTCCTTCGGCGCAACATGTGCCAAGATCGACACCTTCTCATCTTCGGAGAAAGTGGCCTTGTAGGTACGCTCGAACTCCCGGAGCTCAGCTTCCCACTGATGGAGCGCCGTGCTCCACTGGGAGATGTCACTGGGAAAACTGGGGTTCGACAAGTGCCTTCGCCAGACCCATGCCTTGGTTCGGTGAGCTGGCTCGCTCAGGAGAACCAGTCTTCTCCAAACCTCGAACCCATTTGCATCATGCAACCCCTGGCCTATAACGTTCATGGTAGGTTCCGGGCAGTACTGTATGAGGAAAGTGTACATAGCCTTGGCCAACCGACTCTCCTCTGAGGTGAACTTCGAATCATCCACCGGCTCCTTCATCTTTCCATACTGTTCCAAAAGTTCCGGATAGCGTTCATGAACAGTGCTAGACCATGCTACAAACACATGCTTGAATTTCTCCCACTCTTCTTTCTTGCCATTGAAAGTGTGAGGCTTCGGAACGTGAGAGGGGTGTATGAGGTCTTTCTCTTTTCTCTCAACGCTCCCTGTTGTTGTTGTCCCCATTGTTCCAGCCGTGGCTGCTGCTGCTGTCGTTGCTGCTGTTGATTGCAAGGCATTCTCAGCTGCTAAAAGTCTTGCTTCGGCCTCCGCTGCCCTCTTTTGTTGCTGCTCGTAGGCAACGTTGGCCCTTTGCAGGCCTTCGGTCAGTTCCTGAACCCGGGCAGCAAGCGCCTCCAGCGTCGCCGCCATTGCGGGCCAGTTTTGAAAAACACTTTCTAGCTGTACAGATCCACACCGCTACGGGCGTGTACGCCGAGGTCGGTGGCAATCGAAGTCGCCACAAAAACTCGGCGGTGTCACCCGCACTAGCGGTGCCAACCCGCTGAGCCGATGCGGTTTTGCCAGTTACGGTACCACTCGGCCCACCTTCTGTCGGACTCCTCACCTTGCCACGTTGTCTGCCACGAGGTCTGCGGCCACGCGGCTGCCTGCGACCAGTCCTGCCACTGGCCCGGCGGGTGGCTTTGACCACCAGTGCTGCTGCTCGCAGCTGCGCCGCCTCCTCGCCTTGCAAAGCCCACCGAAGAAGCTCGGCTTTCGTAGCCCAAGGAGCTGGACTCCAAGCCTTGGCCCTTGGTGGCTCTGCTGGCTCTGGTGGCGCCCTCTGGTGCCTCTTTGCCCTTGCCGCCTCGGCTCTGCGCTCTCTGGCACGCTCGTCCTTTCGGAGAAGTGCGGCCACACCGTTTGGGTCCTCCGAGTCTGTGCTTCCAGCCTCTGACTCCTCACTGTGCCAGTCGGAGGTGTCTCCTTCTTCCTTGACCTCCTCCGGCTCCTCTTTGGCCTTCTTCTCCTCCTGTTCTTCCTCGTCGCTGGAGGTAAAGACGGTCGTCGGCGGGTGCGTCGCGGTGCGACCTGCCACAGACTCGGCTGGCTCCGTCCAGCTCCACTCTGTTGGCGGTATCACCCGCGAAGCTTGTCTCGCCTCGAAGGTTTCACCCTCACTTCCTCCAGCTTCTGCACCAGAAGAACTCCCGGAAGCGGCCCTTCTGCTCGTCCGCGCCAAGCGCCCAAGCCCTTCCGAAATCCTCTTGCCAGCTACCTTCCTGAGGTAGCTTTGTCTCGCCGACTTTCCTGGGTTTTCGGCTGAGATGGCCGATAAGCCTGGGTACTCCCTCCTGAGTCGGCTCCAGGTAGCGTCTTCTGCTACCGACGGTAGTTCGTCTGGAACCCACGCGTCTTCTTCCAACCACTCGCTGTGCCCGAGGCCTTCTCCCTCCTGAGGGCGACTCTGCAAGCGCAACGCGTCCTCCACGGTCACGTCCTCGACCTCTGGCGCCCACTGCGCAGTCCTTTCGGACTCCTCGTCGCCTCTCTGGAGAGCTCGCTCAGCTCGCCGAGCAAACCCCCTGAGGATTCGCTTTTCCTTGGCCTGCTCGCTCCTCACTCTTCGACCCGGGGGTCCCTCTGAAGCCGGCCCTCGGCTTCCGGACGACTCTGCGCCCTTGGCCTGACCTTTTCTGGTCTTGCCTTTTCCTTTCTTGCCTTTGTAGCCTTTTCCCGTCTTTACGGGTCGCTGTGGTCGCTCCAAGCGCGACTCACCACTTGCCCCACTTGTTTATTGAGGGTTACGGTGGGGTACCCTCACACCCGGCAGAGCAACCGTACGGGCTGCTTGCGGTGTCACCCGCCGCCGCTGCAAGCGCGACTGACGGTGTCAATCACCCGTCCGGAGCTTCCCTTAGAAGGGAACCAGCTCCGCTACCATGCGAAACGGGCGGAGTGCTATCTTTTCCTGCTTTCGCTTGTACCAACAGGGCTTCAGTAGTGCACTTAACTATACAGCTGTACAAGTACACACTACACACGAGAACTACAGGTAAGGCTCGAGAATTTCTCGCACTAAACCCTAACCCCTAAACCCTAAACCCCTAAAACCCTAAGCCCCCAAAACCCTAAGCCCCTAAACTCTAAAACCCGAAACCCTAAACCCCGTCTGCTTATGTCGGTTCTATCGGCCTGAGACTCGAGAGCCTGGGCTTCAGGTTTCGGAGCCGGTGGTCCATCCTAAGCAAATCCGAAGAAAGCCAAGGGTCCAACGGTTGATGATATAAATTCTGCATTATCATAATGACCCTAAACTATGGGAATGATGGTATATTCCTTATTATGGGTAATGCAGGATTTAAATCATCAACCGAAGTACATAATAATCATATACTCTCCGAAATCCTAACCTACATAACTATTATCCTGAAACCGAATACCTAATTATTGGATCCTTTGGACCCTGAGGGAAGAAACCCCAGTGATTGGTTCTGGTAACAAATTTAGCATTCTTGAGCTGGAACCCTAAACCCTAAACTCCGCGCCCGACAATACCCTAAACCTCTACGGCCTAAAAAACCCTAAACTCCTGAACCCCAGATCTCGAATCCTAAACCCTAAACCCCTAAACCCCTAAACCCCTAAACCCCTGAACCCCTAAACCCCTAAACCCCTGAACCCCTAAACCCCAAGCCCGAGCCTAAACCAAGCTTCCAGGGGCCCAGCCCTGGTCGGCAAGCCACCCATGGCAGACCCCTCCGGAAAGAAGGCCTTGTAGGCCTTCGAGGCTTTAGGCTTTAGGGTTCTAGGGTCCGTAGAGGTTTAGGGTTTAGGGGTTAGGGGGTTTAGGGGGTTTAGGGTTTAGGGTTTGGGGTTTAGGGTTTAAGGTTTCGGGTTTGGGGGTTGAGGGTTTTTTTGAGCTCCTTTTTCCACCTGCCTGGGGTTTAGGGTTTGGAGTTTAGGGTTTGGGGCTTAGAGTATGCCGTCGGATAGCACGTAGGCGATTGCATCTTGCGACAAGGTTGTGTCGAGTGCTTCGTTGTGGCGAGGAGCCGCGAAAGCCTGTTCACAGAAGGTTTTTCCTTGTTTCTTCCCACCCCACGCTAGGCCTAAACTCATGCCATACCGCTTTTCTTTCTAAAGGCCGCTGGGAGGGCAGGACAGGGCAGGGGTGAAGGGACCCTTTGGGGGCCCCACCCCTGGGGTGCTGGCCGCAGGGTTTAGGGTATTGACTTTAGGGACCAGTAAGTGTTCCGGTACCGGGTACGACGTGGGTGCAGTCCCCATCATGAGTTTAGGGTTTAGGATTTGGGGTTTAGGGTTTAGGATTTAGGGCCAGAGCCGGCCAGAAGGCTTTGTAGGCCTTCAAAATCGGGGGTCGGCTGGTTTTGGAGGGCCTTGGCTCTAGGGCTTTGGGCTTTAAGGAATTGTTTGCAGTGCTTTTGTGGGTTTTTGCGGAGGGTTTCGGGAAACAAAACTCTGAATCCAAAACCCCGAAACTCAATTCGACACTGGGGCTCGGGAACCGGACGTCGGATGTGGTGTTTCAGAGTAGCGGGGACTCGGCTTCGGTGTCTGGTTAAGGTCCAAGGGCAAAAGGAGGGACCCCTAAGTATATACCGCCCTTAATATAGCTATTATATACCCATGATATAGCCCGTTATAGGGTAGGGGTCCCCATTGAGGGTCCCTCCTTTTCCCGATTGATAAGGGGCTCCTTTCGAGGGCTTACAGCGTTTAGGGCTTGGGTCTCCCGAGGTTTCGGGATTCAGCAGAACCCACAGCTTAGGTGCTACGGTTGCTGATATGAATCCTGCAGTGCCCATGATAAGGAATACGCCATAATTCCCATAGTTTAGGGCCATGAAGGTCATGCAGGATTTATATCATCAACCGTATCCCCCGGGGCCCGGATACCCAAACCCTGCACCGCAAGTGCAATCTACGTTTTCAGCCCTCAACCCTCAAGCCTGCAGGAACCCCCCGCCCGAAATTCCCTGAACCCGGAGAGAGAACCAACAGAAGGCAAACAAAAACATACGTGTTCAGCAAGCACGTTCATCATTCCCAGCCCTTTGAATTGCGCTTCTCGGTCAAATGAGTGGTAGCTCTCCGAAATCAACTAATTCTTTGAAATATCTGCAACAACGCGCCAGTCCCCTCTCACCGCTTCCTTTGTCAAAGGCGCATGTCAAAATAGGCGTCGAGGCTTGAGGCACGCTTCTCTAAAAAAATCCGCAAGCGAACTTGCTACCTACCCTTTTGCGTTGCATGCGCGAGTCGTCGTAGGCTCAAAGCTTCAATGCCGTTAAAATTTTGGTTTAGGGTTTAGAGTACCCAGGGTCCCCAAAGCCTGAAAGCCTCAAAGCTCCAAGCGCCTCATTCATCTCCTCAAAGTCGCTCATGTTGGTGAGCCACACGCTACATGAAATGACCTGGATTTTTCAGGTTTTCCGGCCCTTTTTGTGCTTAATGCCTCAACCCTAAGCCCTACACCTAAACAGCCTAAACCCTAAACCCTGTGTGCTTCATGGCATAAAAAAAGGCCAGGAAGCCTCGACCCTAAACTTAAACCTAAACCCGGTTCGGGACGGGGGGGGTTCCCGAAAGGTCCATGTGGGTGGTTGTCGAAATTATGGTCCCTTTTCGGGTCCTTATTATAATACGACACCTAATGTGTAAGGTACCCAAAAACAAACTACTTTCGACAACTATCCATGTGTTTTTGAGGCTTAGGTTCAGTTCTGGAAACCACGGAGACTTGATCAGAAGCGCTTCAACGAGGATCCTGCTCTTTCCGCCCTTCTTGTGACTTAATATAGGCTAGCCTTAACAATTAGAATGTGGAGTGCCTTTAAGAGGGTCTGTACAAGGGGTTACTATAAGGGATATTTAGTGGGGTTCTATCATATAGAGGCCCTCATAATTACAAGAGGGTTTTGGGGTGTACGATAATGCAAATATAATAAGGAACCCCCCAAACATGGTATAGGTAAGTGTTCAGGCCCCTACCCCATGCAAGAAGGAAAGCCGAATTTGAAACGTGATTTTCAGAAATCAGCAACCCTCAGAAAGTCGCTAAACAGCAGGATCCTCAGCACAACCCGAAAACCCTGAGCCCAAAAGCGGCCTACGTACCCATACCCATCTTCCCCCTTTTCCCGAACGTTGAAAGCCCAGAGTTGAAATCTCTGAGCTGCGGCAGCGCGAAACGAACTTCCAATGGTTTCTTCAAGGTTTTGGGGGGTTTAGAGCATATGGTTGAGGTTTTACGGCTCAAAGCTTGCAGATTGAGGGGTTCAGGGGTTTGGAGTTCACGGGTTAGAAGTGCAAAGCGTGGGCCCCCAACTCTGCCGTCTGGTTCTTCGTAAGGAATGGGGGCATGGATCATGGAGACTCTTATCGGGAGTTATATAGGGACTACT